TAAATACAATCTATAGTAAATTTCCTCGAAGATTTCTTATCTTGATTTGTAAGTTTAAAGCTCCAATTATAAAAAGTTATTCACTATCTGACTGTAATAATATGTGATATAAGTAAATACAAATTTTAAATCCATAAAATAATTTATAACTGAATAAGTACTGTCTATGAAAAAATATGGAATCATATTACATATTCCTAACCGACAATTTTCATGAAATAATATAAATTCACGCGGTCGATAATAAAACAGGTTCTTCAGAAACGCTTTTTTCACGCCGACGTGTCGAGAACCCGATCGCCGATTCGTTGCACTCTTGAAAAGAACAGAGTTGCCATTCCCGCATATTTATCACCGTCGTTAATAACGCACAAAAAAATGCCTTATCGCCCACCGCAGCAAATTTTTCGATGGTTGCCCGATGATTTGATGAGAATTAACTTTGTTGCAGAGCATAAAAGCAATCACGAATAAAATCACTTTACGATCTGTCCAAAGCCTCCAAGGCAAGTGTAACAATTTAAGAAAACTATATTTTTATAAAATGTCGACACAAGAAAAACGATAAATTTTCCCTCTTCAAAATAACTAATTCTTATCATTAATTGGATAAAAAAATTATCAATTAAAAAGAAATTAATAAAGATAACTGATATATAACCGATAATAAAGATAAGCGATAATAAAGATAATCGATAAAATAACCGATATATTCCTACAATAAATAATTACATTCTTAAAATCATTGGCACGACATAAAAATATAAACAAAAACATATATTTTATTCAACAAAAATCGAAACAAGATTCGTAAAACGTAACTCTCGGTATATACCAGTTTATCGAATTTTCTCAGCGATAGTGTTAATTTCTCGTTTCTAATCAATACCTCACAATTCCGAAATTAAATAGCAATAGAGCTAAACGCATCGAACCGATCGTAAATTGATATCCACTAGCCCGCTGATGCTGCGAATCTTACAATGTTTCCTAAGCATCAACACACCTCGCAATTACGGACGTAAACTACTGGGAAACGCGAGTGAAATGCAAAAGGCACGAAATTGCAGTTCATAACAGTAAACATCACGTCGCGCAATTTAAGACTATTAAATGGGAAGAGCTTGTCAAGTGCGAAGCTCGCAATTATTTCCGTTATTCTATTAAAGTATTAGTTTTACTCTTATAAATTAAAAAATATATTGATTTTGTTTCAGATATAATTAAAGGGAAAAATTTATAGACAGTGCAATAATATAGATCTCTATATTTCAAAATTATTTCCGTTTTCATTCTTTTTCTGTATATATCTCTCTCTCTCTCTCTTATTTTATTTTTATTTTTCTTGTAGAGATTTGTCAATTTTTTAAATTCATATAAATACAGATTAAGGAACTAAAATACAGTGTAAGGAATTAGTAAAGATATTCACAATAGCCTGTTTCCAATAAAAGAAGAGAATAAATTAATAACAGAAGTATATCTTCACTTTCTTCTCTCTCTCTCTCTCTCTCTCTCTCTCTCTCTCTCTAGAACATAACTGTTTACGAAGGTAGATTGGATCTTTCCCTTCTACTTAGTTTGCACTGTGCGAAGGAAGAGAAGAGAAGAGCTCGAGGAAAAAGAGGCGGAAGAGGAGGAAGGTAGAAGAGGAAGACGAGGGTGAATGCACTCGCCACACCCTGCCTTAAAGATTGTAAACGATTATTAATGCTCCACTGCGGCTGACCCGTAACCCAACGATGGGTCTTCTCGCAATGTCTCACCTTGTCCCTCTCGCCCCAATCCTGTCCCTTTCCCGAACCCTCTCCTTCTTTCTCCCTCGAAATAATCTCGACTGAAATGCCCAGGAGAGATCGCCGCGGATCGCCTCTCGACGGAATCGATCCTTATCCAGCTTTTTTTCTTAATTAGCCCACCAGGCTACCTCTCGTAAGGGATAAATAACATCGGGGTTACGTCCGGTCACGTTAACTAATTTGCGTAACACGCCGCAGACCCTCGCATCGAAATCTTTGCGCCAGCAAATCATCCGGCTGTTGCGAGCGAGATGAATTATCTGGATGGGGAATGAAGGCGAGGTGTGTGTAATGAAATATAAGAGCGCGGTATAAGCAATAAAAAATAAACGGGCAATTTAATAGAAGGAAGCCAGCGTTAGTTTGAACATATTTAGAAGTTGAACATATTTTGGATACTTACGAAAATAATTTTGTTGGATCATCAAAATAATTGGTACAATAAACTCAAACATGATGAGTGATATTGCAAGAAGTTGTTTGAATAACGTAACATTTATATACGATACATATTACTAAATAAATTATTATAATAATTTTTTTATTTAGTAAATGAAAATTTATTAAATAAAAAATTATAGTTAAATAAAATTAATAGTTCCTGTACTAAATAAACATTTTTACATTTACATTTACCAAATATTCATTAAAATTTATTACATTTTGTCTGTAGAATGCAACCAGCTTGAGCGTCCTATGGTGATTATTTTAACAAATTAAAATTATTTCCTAACAAAATTTTCAACAAAACTATGTTCTTTCTATACAATATTTCGTACTTTCACAGTTTACGTTTCATTGTCCATTTCCATCTCAAGATAACACATTTATCGAAAATTCTTTAACCAAAATAAAATATTATACAGAATGCCCCTAATTAGAATACTCAGCTGCATATCGTTATATATATCTCAGTTCTCAAAACAGAATCTTCGGATCTACAGAAATGCAATATACGTACATATCAACCCAATATAAACACGATAACGTACACATAAAGATAACGTGAGGTCGCATATCGTGAGTTACATTCCGCAAAATCGCAACCTATGTGCACACGCCGATAAAATTGCTCGAGATCACATCGAATCCGTTCATTAGGAGAGCCGTTTGAGCGGCTTGAGGAGAATGCGAACGCTACGATAATTAATAAGACAAAATTAATGAACCGAAGAAAGCAGGCGATAGAGAGTGACGATGCTGACGCTCTTTTCACACGAAGATGCTTGTCAACACGATTTCTGCTTCCGAATCGTCCTTTCGAAACGGAGCCTCGTTCAAAGTGTAAATTCGATGTCTCGGCGATACCGCCGCGTTCGGAAGCGCAATATGAGTATAAAGATAATGAGGCGGCGTACGGCACTAAGAGAAGTCGACGAGCAATTATGCAAATCGCCCGTGACACGTGCTACGATGGCGGTGCTCGTTACCCAATGTTCTTACGGTGAAATACAGCGAGGGAAGAAATGGAATCGGTCGTAGAGGCACTGACCCAATGAGTGGTCGCGATGCTTAAAATAGAGGGGCCCCGGGACAATTGGAGGAATGAAACCGGTGGAGGCAGCGGGAAGGGTACATCGGTAGTTCTGTTACGTGAGTATTTACGGTTCGATCTCGCCGCTTACCGATATCGCGGTGCATAATTTTAATATCCAACGTTTCTCGTCGCGTCGAGGAGATGCGACACGATACGATGCGCCCGTAAAGATAACGAGATGATGCGCGCGGAGGCGGGCCAAGCGCGAGAATTATGCAAATGCGCTTGGCATTTCCAGCGCATCGTCGATACTCGATAAAGGCGGGATTTTAAAATGCACGCGAGTATACGCACTCATTTGTCGCAACCTTGTGAAACCGCGCGATAGATTCTGGGTGGCGCCCGTATAAAATGGAACGTTTCGAATGCGTAAAGAAGGTATTCAATGAGAGTAGAAATAAACGGGCGGTCCAAGGCATGAATTCACGGTAGTTTCATGGGCTCGCATTCGTTCCGCTTGATCGACAAATCCGTTCGCATGCGAATGTCAAACGATCGGCCGAAGAATTTGTTCAAAAAAGGATAATTAAATCTATCTATAATTACAATTTTTGTATCACACATGGAAGTAAAAACAATTTTATCAAAATTTCTAAAAAGCTATAAGATACAGATTTGAAAATCATTCTGTTGGACTATCAAAATAATTAGAAATCTCGAGCATGATAAGAATGTTGTCAAATTTTACTATTTTTGCAACCAGCTCGTTTTATGCTCGCATTATTTTGATAGGTCAACAAAATTATTTTTAAATCTGTATCTATAACTAAGTTTTGGAATACTTCAATGAGAGAAAAATTTTTATATTTGTAACTATAATTGCATATTACTGTAATTATAATTATTACTGAGATTAGGAATAATAACTATATGTAGTGTACTATCAACAAGTATATGGTAATCGAAAATTACTATAATTATAGTTACTATTATCATAAAAATAATTACAATTATTAAAAATCATAGTAATTATATACCATTTTTTTAATTATAATAATAACTACAGTCATTTTCGATTGCCAACCATATACCTGTATTTATTGATAAAACTGTATCATTATTATTCACAGTAATATCACAGTAACTAATATCAATAGTAATATTCATAATTATAGTGACATGTAATTATAGTTAACAAATATTAAAAATTTTTATATTTAGTAAAACTGTTCTTTCCATACATTTTCTCTATAGATTATTTTCTACGTAATTTTTTCAAGATGAAAAATTTTAATATTATTTAACCTTGCATAATAAAAAATATAAAATTTTGTTAAAAAAAAAAGTCTTTTTTTTTTTATAAATAGATATAATTAATTTCAAGTCGGTACCGAGAGCTCAATGTTACAATTTCAAATAATGATTCGTAAAATAAATACGGATGTTCGAAAAATTTGACAATTTGATTAATAGAAAATGCGACAGTTCTTCGCAGAGTTGTCCCTCCAACGTGAGAGCTTAATTGTGAAGGGAGAAACGCATGGCTGTGGCCAATTGATTCCACGTGGCATTGACCGGAGAGACAGACGCAACTCGACTGATTCAGTATTCGGAATGGAAAGAAGCTCAGGAGAGAGGGCCACGCTTGCAGTACAAGCGAGGAAGAGGATCTCAATGAAAAAAGAACGTCAAGAGAAAAGCTAGAAATAGGTGCTGTGACTCACCATGAAAACCATGAACCTTGATTGCACGTTGGCGCTCTCGATGTAAGTCAGCGTTTCCAGCCACCGTGATGATCGCCGGGGTGGTGTCCGCATCCACTTCTGCGTCGCAGACTGTCCTTCGTTGCACTCCACAGCCACGCGAAAAACAGAGTCGATCACTTCACGATTACGTACACCGGATTTTACCCTTTTCTTCTCTTTTATTCACCAAATTCGACAACAGGGAAACGTCGTTAGAAATTATTGTCGTTGACAGAAAGAAGTGCCGTAAGCATGCGTGTTTATCCGCGAAACGCGATCCTTATTGCTTACGCGAGCCTACGGAAAAATGCGGGTTCACGCGTTTACGTTTTCATTCGCTGTATAGTCGCGATTAACTGGCGTATCTCTCTTACCCGAGAGAATATTATTGACTACTAATTCATCTATCTAAGTAACTTATTAATTGGCTATCGGTGACGGTAAATATAATAGTCGTCCACCGGCATTCGATTGGCATACTGGCATGAATACTGGCCCGTTCGGCTCCGGTCACCTGCAACATACAAATGTGTCGTCGTTCGCATTAGAAATTGCCGCCTGACGAAACTGGAAAATGTAACTAAGCGTTGCGGAAATCATAATTCTGGTCGTCTTTGTAGCGGAACGACGTAAATTTAGGACGAGAACCGTGGCACCGAAATAGAGATTACTCGTTCGGAATCGGCGTCGAATTTCGCGAACGTTGCGGTTGTTAATTGCATTTAATGTTCCTAGAATTAATTAATATTCTACAAGAACAAACTTGATGTACGACCGACAACTTCTATTTTATCTATATTAGTTCCAATAGTTAGCAAGCAATCAACATTACATGAAAATAATCTTATAACGGTTCAATAATAATAAATAACAAGAAAGAGCTACAAGCCAGATTTTTATGTATTTCAAATTCTTCAATTTTTTTCAAACATACGTTTCGACTTTATTATTAGGTTATCTTCATTGTATGTAGAAAACAAATTTAACAAAGTTAATAAAACGGTTAGATACAATTTCTACAGATTATAGTTACGCAAAGTGTTGATATTCCTTCATATCTATCTTCTGTCGTAATGTAATGCTTTCAGTCTTGTAATATTCTCAGTTACATTCTTCCATTATATCGCAATTAGTCCATAATGATGATAAAATTATTTAAACATGTTGAATCATTCAATAAAAATGTATCAGGACACATTCTGTTATCAAATCAATATTTAAAAATTAATAAAATATAATTATAATTATTTATAACATTATTGATATATAATATGATTTATAAATTAATAATATTACTAATGTGATTACACTGAGAGAAAAATGTTAGGTTTGTGATAGTTAATTGGTAAAACTACGTTTAAAAACTTCATTTTTTTTATTTATTATACTGCTATAACGTTAGTAATAATTAATAATAATTACATTTATAGTTCTATATATCAAAAAATGAATAATTAACATTAAAATGACTATTTAAATTATAATCATTTTTGAAGTCAATTACAAATTGTTTGTTACAGCAATAATAATAACTATTAAATTGAAGCTTTTAAACATAATTATTGTACAATTATCACAAAAGTCACAAATATTAAATACTTTCCTCTCAGTAATAATTACCTATTAGAATTAAAACATCAGAAATTTTACTTATTTTTTTTTATAATACACAACGTGTAATTTCTTTTCATTAAAAAAAGACAATGATACAACTATATTTTTAGAATTTATAAACTCTGCCTTTTACAACAAGAGAGCTGTTTAATGCGTCGTCTACAATATGTACACATATGAAATAAGAAGCAAGAGTAAGAAATTGATCACAGTCGATTATTCTTCTCACATTCAATTGTGATTGGTCAATTTCTTACTCTTACTTTTTATTCCATGTATTGTAGACGACGTACAAGAGATAAAAAATCAAATCAGCGCACTGCTTTATTGCTAACCAAGGCGGAAATGTTAACCTCCGTTATTTTGTTTCAAGAATCTAGTATGAGCGATCGTGTCACCAGGAAAAACGTAGCGGATCGGATAATAGAATGGGCAGATGCAATGGCATCATTTTATGGGGCGCGGTCGAGTGTACCAGGCCGGGCCCGTGACGCACCCGGTCTTTATTTAAATCATTCAATCCGTCACGGTATAATCGATTAACGCTAATAGCCGAGGAAATAGAGTACACTGTAGCTCGAAGATACTCGCGCCATTTCCTTGCCCATCACGATCATCTCCTGAGCGATCAATTGATCGATGAACGATTATAACGTGTAGATATCTCTTAGAACAGAAATAAAAGAGAAAAATTACATTCACTGTCCTCTAGAAAATGAATTTGAAAGAAAATTTATAATAACAAGAGTATTTAAATTGGTTATATTAATCACTTTAATATCTACAAATTTCTACTGATTTCTATTTCTAACTAAAAATTTAAAAGTAAAACTTATTAGATTTTTATGTAATATATTAACACGTTTATTTTCGATTTGTTATTTAATATATTCTAAACAATCGTTAATATTCGAGAGATAACAAAATATAAGATAAATAGATAACAAAATTCTCCAAATTATTAATTAAATTCTCCAATTATATTTATATATGTACATTATTTTTTTTTAATTGACTTATGTTATTTCATGAATATAAATAGAAACTTGAATCGGGTTTCTTAAAATATTTCCAATAGTAAACAGGAAATGATTACCACTGTGTTTACCAAATGTTTTTTCAAAGTTAAAAATTAATTGATTGCCAATCAAATAATAAAATGCAAACGCATTGTAAACGACGCAAATAAAAAACACGTTGCTATTTGAATCTTTGTAGTGTAGTATGCTTTCACAGCGAATTTGTCACATCAACAAAGTATTGCGATTGCGACCAACAAATATACTTCGTACTATGACAGTCGTTGCAAGTTTTATTGAAACTTTATAGTACGTACGGCCTCAGCTACATGGTTAAACTTTGAGCATAATTATCGAACGAAACAGTTCTATGACCACTCGACCTCAAACTCTGTACATCACATCGGTACAACGAACCGTAAAAGCAACGCGATGTCTATCTCTAATTAATCTCTTCTTATGACTCTAATTAAATTAATGAATAATACAAAAAATAATAATACAAAACTAAAAAATAAAATATGTATTCCCAAAGTAATTTGTCACAAATTATTACATAGATTTTTTAAATGTACGGATAGAAATATGATTTTGCTGAATTTGTCTAAAAATTTAACTATATATAAATATAGTTTTGAAAATAATTTTGTAGAACCATTAACGTAATTTAATGTAGGACGCTCAAGCTGATTGCTAGAATTGTCAAAATTTTTTACAGCATTATTCATTACACGTTCTACATAATCGACAATAAAAAATATTTTGATAATTTAACAAAATTATTTTCGGATTTTTGTCTGGCTAAATTTTCAAATACGCTTCGATGAAATCATTCTTTTTATGTAGATATTTATCACCACTTCCCTGATCCTGTTGATAAAATTTATCAAAATACAATTATATAAAAAATCTATCACTCTGCAAACATGTGTACGTATTATAAAATATATTTAAAATGATCATTTTGTAGAATATAGCTAATAAGAAATTGTATCAAATTATGAATATATCAAAATATCGAATTGTGGATGGTGAATTGAAGGATGGTTTTTCCTCATATTCTAGGATGCATGATCGACAGTATATAATAGGATACAGTACGCGCAAATAGTCAGTGTATTTACAGTTTTTCGTCTTATTGGCTGCATGTTTGTACGTAGCACAACCGATGGACGTCGGGTTTGGAGCAGCGCGGCTATTGATCTACGGATCGATCGATCTATCGCTATCAGCCTCGTTTCATCACAGGACAGACTCCTCGACGACGACGACGACGACGACGACGACGACGACGATGATGATGACGACGCGACGTACCAATAAAGCTCACCAGAGGCGTCTACAGCAATCGCCTTATCGATCGTGATTCTAAATCATCGGCGATCGTTTAAGGATGCCAAGAACTTGCACGCCATCCCTTTATACAAGTTGATTCACAGCTTGAATGAACGATCTTTAATAAAATCCATATCGAAAACATGCTATACAAAAAAGTATATTTCGTTTCTTTATAAAAATATATATATACTTGTACATGTACTTGTACATATACTACATATACCATACAATCAAAAATTTATGTTAAATTTAACATATTTCACGTATCTCAAATGATGCCCACTGAAATTATGTGTTAATTTAACACGAAATGAATATGTTGGAAAGTAATACAAATGTTATGTAAAAAAATTAAGACAAAAAATATAACATTAATTCATTTTAGAATTTACATTTTAAAATACATTATTTTTATTTGTTCACTTATTCGTAAATTGCTATTTTAACACTAGGAAACGTTAAATATAAATTTAACATAAAATATTTAAATAACACAATCATATTATGTTAAATTAACATGTGGAAATGTTTAAAACAAATCAACATAAAAATTTAACAAAAGCCGATTGTCATACAAAATATTTTCTACTGTGTAGATATATAGACTAGAATTAACAATGACATATTGCAAAAATTTGTGATATACACACATTGTAATAAGATTATATTTCTTCTCGAAGAAATTATTATTTTTCACATAGTATAGAATCTCTACTGTTCTCAAAATTTACTAACTGAATTTTGAATAGTCCTATATAATGCGTATACTGACGAGTGAGAGGCAGTGCTTGGAACTTAAGTGAAAGATTACGAAACCTCACGCTTAATAAATCACGCTCGACTGCCTAGTTTAAATTGGTGTATATATATATAGAATATTAATATGTTTATTGTGTATTTCTTCTGTACAAATATTAATCAAAAATCAGTTGCATAAACAATTAATCATAATATCATTAAATCGGAAATTTGAAAGTTCCATAAAAATCTCTACTTCTTTGTAATCACAAGCGTTTCATGGCAATCTCGTAATCGCGTGTTTAGTACGTTATGTCTTTTCGCATCAATCGTAACACAACGGAAAAGCAATAAAGAATGTATAGTAAAAATAGTAGAAACAGATACAATCGATAAAACAGAAATATAGAGAGAAATACAGAGTGTCCCATCAGGATCTTAACAACGCGCTTAAAGTTTCTTGAGATCATTTTGAGACAAAAATCTTAATATCAAAGTTACTTTAGTTTTTAAATTACAATTATATAAAATTAACGAATCATATATAGCTTAAAGTTCGAGCGTTCAGGTGTGGTTGGCTTTTATGATGTATCACACTAATCACACGCGCGAATTACTTCAAGCAGGGTGATTTTCTAGCTTTATAATTCAAGAACTATTGCAGCCTTAACATTTTGGTATTAAGATTTTCGTCTCAAAATAATCTCAGGAATCTAACTTTAAACGTTACAATCTTTACAGGACACTTTGAATATAACATACGATATATCAGATATAACTGCAAGTATCGACATTCTGTCAAAAT